TTGATCAAGAGGTCAAACTCCTGCTCTGCGGTTAGGTTGAGGTTAGCGATGGCGGCCTTGAAGGTTGCCTTCCAAGCTCTGTAGCTCTCTGCACGGTCATCAAATTTTGAGAGACTGGTGTTGATTAGCTCTCTGCTCACCATAAACCTGGCAAACTCAGACATATCTGATTTCTCACTGCTTGTGGCCATGACGACTTGTGATGCCCCTGGGGCATATGGGCTGCCTGGCGTAAAGGGGTGAGATGCTTCCGGGTAGAATGATGTAGCTGCAGGGTTAAGCTTTCGTTTAGCCTCTGTATGTTGTGATGACTGCTGCTTGAGCTGTGGAGGTAGGCCAGAAAACGCCTGATAGCGATCTTTCTGTAACAACCGTCCTTGAGAGGGCACATCCGGGTAATGGTTATTAGGTTGCTCGGATGCTGTGGGTAGCACTGGTACCGCAGATAGAGCTGACTTGGAGGTTTCAGTGTTGTCGGCTTGGATGGTACTGCAAACTGGGGGTGGCGCAGATACCTGATTCAGTACATAGTTACTGGTGCGGTCAACTGGATCATCTATCTCCTGTGGTAGCGAGCAGACTGGATAAAGACCTTGGCTCAATGCTTGCTCAAGTAGTCTTACGTTAGCTAATGCAATTTCCTCCTGCATCTCTGATTCAAAAATCTTTATTCGAGCCTCTGCTTCTGCCCTCTTGGCCTCTGCTTCTGCCCTCTTGGCCTCTGCTTCTGCCTCTGCCCTCTTGGCCTCTGCTCTTGCAAGAGCTTCTTTTTCTGTGAAGGAGCGTCTCGCTTTGGATTGCTCTGCGTTTATGCGGGCCTCTAGTAATCTGTCGCTCAAGGCTGAGCTTCTTGAGCACGATGATTTGTATGACCGAGAGGAATGTTTAGATGAATTTGATATGTGCAATCTAGTTTCTTGCAAATGCGAGATACGGAGTTCCGCTTTACTTTTAACATCCAGCACCATGACGTCTCTTTGTCTGGCTATTGATTCTGCCTTGCTCAGTTCTGATAGGGCTTCATCGATATTAGAGTCTTTCAGAAAGGTTATATACCTTGTGGACAGTCTATTGTATCTTTCTTGAGCTGTGTCCAGCCGCCCGATGGCAACTTGTAAGCTTGTGGCATCACCTGAGGATTTAAGTCCGGACATGAGGGAGGAAACTCGTTCCCATTGTTCCTCCAGGTTATCACATAGCTCATCTTTTGTGGTGTGATAATTTTCAATGACCTTTACTGTCGGTTTGAGAGAGCGTCTTGGTCGCACGACTTGTTTCTGCTGGAAGTGTGGATTCTGTTTCCTGCCCTTCATAATGATCAGTATCAGGTTGCATTTGCTTTATTTCATCACTGGGGAACTGTGCAAAGTCCTTTTCGGCCATTTTGACTTAAGGTGCGCTGTCTCTTTAAGAAAATGAACTTTTGAATTGGACGCTGAAAATCGCCGCACGGCTCCGATAGGGCACTTTGATAAAATTTCTAAGATATTTAGAATGAATTGCGGGGTTTTGCGGGCCACGGCAGTGTAAGGAACGTGCATAAACAGTACTTCTATTATGCGAGGAAAGGTTAATATAGGATGTAAAGAATGGCTTGGAGAGTTGTGGAGGACTTCCAGGCAAGACTATAGATACTGCGTATGTGCAGTGCTTCCGCATAGGCTTGTGGAACATGCACTGTAGCCGGGCAGATTTGCTGCAAGTGGGCCTGTTGCTAGGGAGATTCCTGAGTGTGGTACTGGACTTTAAGGCAGTTTTTGACTGTTCTGTCCCCACATGAAGGCGAATGAAGGTATATCTGATAATGGCTGTGTAACTTCCTACCTTCGTATCCAAGCAGTGGAGCAGACCGGACCGGCAGATGTTCAGGTTAGATGGATCCAAACGTATACACGGGAATGAAATCAGCGTGGGTTTATTTGGTCCAAAATACAGCGACAAACAGTGATACAATACTGTAAGGTAGTAGAGGTATTGATGCTGTCCTGTGATATCTTTCCTGAGGCTAACTGCTGGTCAAAAACTGATGCCTTCACAAGCCCAGGGTATTGAATGTCCTGTCACACAGCTATATAGCAGATAAAAATGGCTGCAGGAAGTGACCAGAACCAAGGCTTGCCTAAAACCACACCCAGCAGAGAAAACACTTACTAGCTATAACAGAGGCATGCAGCATGCAAATTCTGGCCAGCAGATGGCAGCAACAGATCAAGACATAGAAACAAACATGGTGAAATAAGAATTGGTGATACAATGCACAGTTAAATAACAAATATGAGGGGAACAGCACAGTATCTTTAGACTAACACATAAAGTAACAAACATGCGTACTGTAGAAATGAACTTCAAGTGTTTGGCAAGATGGTATATAACACCAAGTATAGCCCATAAGCAGCAAGAGGAGTGCTCCCCATGGTGTGGGAGAGGATGTGGAGAAAAAGGTAATATGGGACACATCTGGTGGAGTTGTCTGAGGATACAGGATTATTGGAGGGAAATAGCTCACTATATCCAGGAAATATGTGGGGTAAATATCCAGGGAGATCCTCTGAAATTCCTATTCTATTATTTTGAGCCCAATTTAGAAGTATATGTGAATAAAGTACTGTATCATTTAATTAGGCAGCAAAGGGCTTAATACCAAAGTTCTTTATAGGAATGTCCTCCTGCACTCCACAGAATAACTAAACAAGGCCAGCAGCTATCATCTATACCCTATACCTGAAAAAGATATCTAATACTGGATGAAGCACTCAGCCATGAGGGTAATAAACTAATTAAACTAAATTTAACAAATAAATTAAAATAAAACATATTATATATATATATAATAAAGTGACTAGTGCTCCAATTTATTTTGTTTGCACATTTATTTGGAGCACTAGTCACTTTATTATATATATATATATATAATATTTTTTATTTTAATTTATTTGTTTAATTAGTTTATTACCCTCATGGCTGAGCGCTTCATCCAGTATTAGATATCTAATACCAAAGTTCTGGTTAGTAGCAGACGTTCCCAAGATGGTGGATTGGATAGAGAGGGTGGAAGGTACTTTTAGAATGGAAGAACTGAGATGTCTAGAAGAGGATAAGATGGGAACGTTTGAAAGAACATCGAGTGTTTGGAGGACATTTAAAAATTCAGAAATTTATGCACAATTAATTAGAGCAAAGGAGGTAGCCTAAGACGTTATAGTAATGCTAGCCGAAAGGAAAAATGGATACAGATAGAGATAAGACTGTGACGACAAGGGGGGGTGGATTGGGTAGGGGAGGGGGTGGGTTAATGAATGTATGTATATTATGGGAAAATGAGAAAGCATATGATGTATAGGAAGATGTTTTAATGTTGTTTGTATAATTATATAATAAAAAGATGAATAAATAAAAAAAAAAAAAACATGTCCAGTAAAAAAAAATAAATCAAATTTCTTCATAAATTTAGGCAAAAATGCATTCTGCTCCATGTCTTTGCTAAAAAAAAATCCTAATACGTGTAAATTAATTGGTTTATGTGAAAGTTATAGCGTTTACAAATGGCAGTATATGTACAGGGATTTTTTTTTCACTAGTAATGGCGGAGATCAGCGACTTGTAGCGGGACTGTGGCAGATATTCTGACAATGGGGTGAACTGACTTGGTGTCACTGACATCCCCAGTGACACCAATACAGTGATCAGTGCTAAAAAAAAAGCACTGACACTGTACTAATGGCACTGGGCAGGAAGGGGTTAATGTGAGGGGCGATCAAAGGGTAACTGTGTGCTGGGAGTGTTTTACTAGGGGGCGGTGTGTGTGTGATTCACTGTAATCACTGTGCACAGCCATCCACAGCAGTGTGCCCGAGCTGACAGGGAGAACTGTTAGAACTGTTAGTAAATAAAACAGTTCTCTCTGTCAGAGATTCTTGGAAATCACCGGGCGCCGGTGAGTAATTACCGGCAGGGGCCCGGCGATCTAACCGTAAATGCAAAATCACACATATATGTGATTTTGCACACCACTGCCACCCGGTAGCAGTATTTTTGCTATAGGGCAGTCGGCAAGCGGTTGATCCCTTTAGTCTGGCAACAGATGCAGTTCCGAATCGCATAACAAGCTGCACCCTATTGTTAGCAATGGAAATTCTGAAAACTATTTTTGCTGATTTTAGGTGTCACTTGCATTGACATCTGTGCATGAAGTCATATAGATGTCAGGCAAGCAGCATATGAAATCGCACCGGATCCGCGGCTTTGAAATTGCGATCTCAAGTGAAGTAGCACGATTTCAGTATTGCATTTGGCGTGAACCGGGGCTAACTCCTACCAGTGTCCTGAGATAGCTTACATTTTGCCCAATCAGACCTTTTAGAGGTAAACACATTTTTTTTCAATATTGGCATTTTATTAGAATGTTTTGGGAAAAAAAGTCAATATCAAATCATTTTCCATAGGCTGTCTCCAGATCTGTGTATTATACATGCATGCTATGCAAAAAGCAGGAAGGGAGGCCGCTGTTCAGGCAGAGCCATTGTTCGGATAAGTGATTTTGAATGTCCCCCAAGCCCTTCACCCTTGGTTCAAATCTGTGTGGGTGGTGCCACTGCGGATCCGCACAAAAATCCATGCATCCGCACCACCTGCACAGAGAAATGCGGACCCGTGGGTGGTGCCATTAGTTCTAATGGCACGCCGCCCGCACTGGAAAACGCAACCGTACTGGCAACTGAGGTTCCCGTGCATGCTGTGCTTTCCAAAGAAGTGCAGGGACTTCTTCCCTGCGTGTCACGGCACGGGAGTCCATTTAAATGAATGGGCTTTTGGGTCCGTGCAAAATGCGGCCCACACAGCCACATATATGTGAACCGGGTTAATATTTGTTTAGTGATTACCTGCTGCAGAGTAGGTATTTCATCATTCATGAGTTACAACTGTAATGATGATAATCAGAGACCTACAATAAAATAATTTGCACTTATTTTCCCCAGCAGACAATATTTGCTCATACTCACGAGGACAGCAGTCTTGCAGCGAGCAGGAATGGACCTCGATTGTGGCCCCATCACAGTCTCCCTGACCTATGCAGACTCTCCCTCTTTTCTGAACCCCTTCCAGGCACGATACAGTACATGGGCTCCATTCACTCCACTGAGACCACTCTGCTGGACTGGGAGAGACGGCCATATTATAGACTTGGGGCCAATGCAATGTGGAAAGACAGAAGGCTGAGAGCAAACAATCAGGCAAAAGATGATTGGTCATTATGAGCTACGCAGACACAGGCGAGGGGTGGCGCAGTTCACAGCCTGCCGCACAGAACCATTGAAGGGATAGAACCAGAAGTGCGAGGGTGGAACAGTGCGGGAGGAAACATGCAATCTGCCAAGGAGGAGACAGGTTCATAGATGAGGGGGTGCAGCAGTGTAGATGGAAGCACATAGCCTGCCACACAGGGCCAAAAAAGAGATAGAGACACAGGCGAGGAGTGGAGCATTGCAGATGGAAGCACACAGCCTTCCATACAGGGCCAAAAAGAGAGATAAGAACACAGTCGAGGTGTGGAGCAGTGTAGCTAGAAGCACACAGCCTGCCAAACAGGGCCAAAAAAGAGATGGAAACACAGGCAAGGGTGGGAGCATTGCAGATGGTCGCACACAGCCTGCCACACAGGGCCAAAAAAGAGATAGAAACACAGGCGAGAGTTGCAGCAGTGTAGATGGAAGCACACAGCCTGCCACACAGGGCCAGAAAAAAAAATAGAGCCACAGGGGAGGGGTGGAGCATTGCAGATGGAAACACACAGCCTGCCACACAGGGCCAAAAAAGAGATAGAGACACAGGCGAGGGGTGGAGCATTGGAGATGGAAGCACACAGCCTGCCACACAGGGCCAAAAAAGAGATAGACACACAGGCGAGGGGTGGAACATTGCAGATGGAAGCACACAGCCTGCCACACAGGGCCAAAAAAGATAGAGACACAGGCGAGGGTTGAAGCAGTGTAGATGGAAGCACACATCCTGCCACACAGGGCCAAAAAGAGAGATAAGGACACAGGCGAGGGTTGGAGCATTGCAGATGAAAGCACACAGCCTGCCACACAGAGCCAAAAAGAGAGATAAGGACACAGGCAAGGTGTGGAGCAGTACAGATGGAAGCACACAGCCTGCCACACAGGGCCAAAAAAGAGATGGAGAGGGGGGAACACAGTGGACACAGGAATGTTGATACGTGAGGAGCTGTGCAATACTAAGGAAGAAAACAAGCGACATTGTGGATGCAACTTTTTTATTTCGCCCAACTTACCGGCAGGCTTTACATGGAGACTGAGAATCCTGCCTAAAGGCATACTTGATATTCAGACAGCAATCCAGTTCTGACACACCGTCTCCAAGATAATCCTCGCATTCACCAGTCAATTCATTAACCTCAGCATAACACAGAACATCGTCTGCCCCTATTAAATAGAAAAGCATGTCTTATTAATAGTACAGTAATACTTCATTATTTACAATGCGGGATGACAGAATCACAGAAGAGAATTGCTAGAAAAAGACCAAGTGGTCCATTGACTCTTCACCCTTTTCAGATTTTTTATTTTTTTTTTGTGAGTATAGATCTATGTTTATCCCAAGCATGTTTAACCACTTCAAGTCCAGACACTTCCCCCCTAGGCCCATTTTCAGCTTTCAGTGCTATCACACTTTGAATGACAATTGCGCGGTCATGCAACACTGTACCCATATGAAGTTTTTAGCATTTTTTTGAGATAGATAAAACTTTATTTTGGTGGTATTTATGTATTTATTCACCACTGGGATTTTTATTTTGTTGCTATATAAATGAAAAAGTCCAAACATTTTGAAAAAAAAAAGTGTTTTTCTTATAAACTTTTCAAATAAATAATCCTTCTTCATAAATGTATTCTGCTAAGTTAGTTTATAACCAAAAATTAAATTTTTTTACATTTTTATTTATTTTTTTATATTATTATTTTTATGTTTTTTTAACATACTGTCACCCTAGCAGTACAGTGTCACCATAGTGACGCTGTACTACTTGTGGGGGGTGATGAAGATTTATTTTTTACTCTGATTGCTTTTACACCCATAAAGTCTGTAAAAGCAATCATTTCTCCTTCTCTCTGGCTGCATTCTTGCAGCCATTGAGAAATACTGTGAGAGTTGTGATTGGTTACACCTTGTCACATGGTACAAGGCTGTTGTGAATAGGCTTGTACCATGTGACCTCTGTGATCATTCACAGATTTCACTAGTAGTAAGCAATGATGTTAGAAGCGACATCTTGCTTACTACTATTCATGTGATTACTGATTGGCTAATCAGTGATCTCATGAATCGGAACCTCACACAGAGGTCCCATACAGCAGGCAGCGGATCGCGGTGCCGCGCGCTTCCAGGGAGCACACAGGCAGGGAATGCGGGAGGACGTTTATAAATGGCCTCCTGCACTGCTCCCGTCCGGCCGTTTATGTACATGTGCCGGAAGAGAAGTGGTTAAATCCACTTACTGTTGACAACTCACTACCTCTGCTGGAAGCCTACTCCAAGCATCAACTACTCTGTCAGTAAAATACTTTCTAAGGTTAGTTTTGACCTTCCCTGCAGCTAGTTAGTCCTTATGTTCTTGAACTTCGCTTCATATTGAAATCATTGTCCTCCTGAACTTTTTTTAGACTGTGGCCCGGTACTCTACTGGCAGAAGGGGGGTGGTTGTATCCCACCAACCTTTATCTGCTGTGCCGCTTCTGTGTGTGCGTCCACAGTGGACTTCTACACAGATACAGTTCTAGTAGAGACTTTAAGGGCCGGTTTGCATCACAATTTCTGCATTCCAGATGTGTTTCTGCATGTGTGTTTTTGATATGTTGCGGTATGTTTTTGAGGCCTTCAGGAGCATATTTTCCTACTTTTTTCTTAATTCAGGGCATGTGTGTTGTGGTGTGTTTTCGATACGTTCCAGTGCATTTTGCCACATTCCAGGTACGTTCCATACAGCATGTCCTACTTTTGTTGACTGCACTGCACTGGTGTGAACTAGGGCTATTGGAATACATGGAAACCACTGTGCATTCCTTTTTGATGAGGATTAAAAATGCACTGGACTGCATCTTGCGTGAATCAGCAAGTGAAATCTTGGCTGCATCCACTAGAGGACGCCCAGGGACACGTGAATTACAAGAGACTGAGAACAATCATGGTGGAATTTATTTATTACAGGTACTTATGGACAATCATTCATTTTAACCCGCACTTTACATATAAATTGTACATTCACATCAGTCCCTGCCCTCAGGAAGTGTACAATTTAAGGTCCCTAACTCACATTCATACATACACATACTACGGCCAATTTACCTACCAGCATGTTTTCAGAGTGTGGGAGGAAACCCACGCAGGCACAGAGTGAACATACAAACTCCAGGCAAGTAGTGTCATAGGTGGGATTCAAACCAATGACCCTAGTGCTGCTAGGCGGAACGGCAAATCACTGTGCTATCTGATGATTTAAATCAGAAAACAAGGACCTTGTTCCTCCTGCTGATGATCCCACCAGCCATAAAGATCTATATAGAGGAATCAGGACTTCTTTCTTTTGGTGATCCCTCTAGTGATATCTAATAATCTGTACAGAGGAATCAGGACCTCCTTCCTCCTGCTAGTGATCCCTCTACTGATATCTAATGATCTATAGGGGAATCAGGACCTTTTTCCTCCTGCTGGAGATCTTTCTATTGATAACTAAAGATCTACATAGGAGACCCAGGACCTCCTTCCTCCTGTTTGTGATCCTTCGAATGATAACTTTAGATCTATAGAGGAATCAGGACCTCCTTCCTCCTGCTGGTATTCTTTAGGGATAACTATATAACTATTAATTAGAATCAGGACCTCCTTCCTCCTGTTAGCAATCACTCTAGTGATATAAATATCTATATAGGGGAATCAGGACCTCCTTCCTCCTGTTAGCAATCACTCTAGTAGCAGGACCTCCTCATCATTCTAGTGATATAAATATCTATGCAGACTCCACCTCCGCAACATCGCCAAAATCCGCACGTTCCTAACCCCAGAAACCACTAAACAGCTCATCCACTCCCTCATCATATCACGACTCGACTACTGCAACTCCCTCCTTACTGGCCTGCCTCGCCGCTGGCTATCCCCGCTTCAGTTGATCCTGAATACGGCTGCCAGACTCATTCACCTTTCCAACCGCTCCATTTCCGCCACCCCCCTCTGCCAATCCCTCCACTGGCTTCCGATTGCGCAACGGATCAAATTCAAAATCCTAACACTGACGTACAAAGCTGTCCACCATACTGCCCCGAACTACATCATTGACCTAATATCCAAGTACCGCCCAGCACGCACACTCCGCTCCTCACAAGACCTCCTTCTCTCTAGTTCCCTGGTCTCCTCCTCCCATGCCCGCCTCCAGGACTTCTCCAGGGTGTCACCCATCCTCTGGAACTCCCTGCCCCAACCCATCAGATTATCACCTACTCTCCTCTCCCTTAGGCGCACCCTGAAAACCCATCTCTTCAGGGAAGCCTACCCCACCCCCTGCTAACTTGCCGACCTCCTCCACTCTTCCTACCACTCCATCCCCCACAGCTATCTCCTCCTGTGCCACGATCCCCTCCCTCCTAGATTGTAAGCTCGAAAGAGCAGGGCCCTCAATCCCCTCATGTTTTGTATTGTATTGTTATTGTTCTGTCACATGTTCTGTCCCCCTTTGTAATGTACAGCGCTGAGCGAACTATTGGCGCTTTATAAATACTGTATAATAATAATAATAATAATATAGGGGAATCAGGACCTCCTTCCTCCTGTTAGCAATCACTCTAGTGATATAAATATCTATATAGGGGAATCAGGACCTCCTTCCTCCTGTTAGTAATCACTCTAGTGATATAAATATCTATATAGGGGAATCAGTACCTCCTTCCTGCTAGCTGTGATCCCCTCTAGTGATTCACTTCAAAGTTTTTTCCTTTTGCCTGGTCACACTTTTGCTCATTTTGTAATCTGAAGTTGCCACTCCCAAATCTTTTTTCCTCTGTATTTTTGGCCAA